CTCGACTATTCTTTGTGTTCTCCTTTGATCTGACCCTCTGTTGCTGTAACCCGGCTCGTGATCTGTGATTCTCGTCTGCTGTCCTGTACCGTTTTGTCCCGTTGTTGTCGACCCTGGCCTACCTGACTACTCTATTGTCTTTTCCACCAGCTACACGCCATTGGCGGTGGCCATTACCGCAACTGAGGTGTCTCGGGGCGTGACCTGGTTCCTGGCTGCGTCAAGTCCATCCCCACCATCAGGGGCCCCTTGAAGGGCAGCCTGGGGCTTAGACTCCGCGCCTGAGGGACTTCGGGCTGTGGGTGGTGGTTGTCGTCAGCCAGTGCGTTACATTGTTATATAGGCCAGCCTGTCCGTTCCTCAGCTCCTGCCCTGACACGCCTACCTGCTCTATCTGCTATTAGATTCCGGCTTGCTCATTCCCTGGTGGGGTGATCATGAGAACTGCGACCTGGTACTAATACGCAGCCAAATGCATCTCCACTATTCGGAGCTCTGGTGAAAAACCGGTTCTAGACCCCGCACCTCAGGGGAGCCTGCGTCACCATTTCCCTCAGGTGACCCGCCTGTGTACCTATCCTGCTGGTTCAGGTAAACCTGAACACTGCTATAGCAACTGGTCTCTGAACCTGACCCAGACCGTGACAGAATAATCTGGCCCAAAGATGGAGGCCGCTATAGCAAACATTGTGGCTCCTCTTAGGCAGGCAAATTGCTGAGCTGCAGGATTCGGGGTTACCCATCAGGAAAAAGTTGCCAAACTTGGAAAGCATTGTGGATAGGCAACAGGGAGAGATTCAGACTCTGCAGAGACAACTGCTGAACCGATGAAGATACCAACTAACTCACATATGCCCCAACCATCTAAGTTTAATGGAGACTGCCGCCACTACAGGGGTTTCCTTAATCAATGTAATGTAGAGATGAGCGAATCGAACCAGGCGAAGTGGAATTAGTTTCGAATATCGGGAAAAATTTGATTCGCATCGAATCCGAATTTTAGCCAACTTCGGGTGCACGAATCGAATTTTTCCCGATCAGCCGGCAAAAGTGTCATGCATGAGAGCTCCGCTATTTCTGACAGTTCTGACAGTTCATTTACAGCGGTTGAAACATTGTATCTATTTGTTTCCATTTAGGATACAGATGTTTTATATTCAGAAATAAATAGATACAATGTTTCAACCGCTGTAAATGAACTGTCAGAGAACTGTCAGAAATAGCGGAGCTCTCTGCAGATACACTTTTTGCTGTACTGGAATACTTCTTCTTTTTCATTCTTCTTCTTCTTTTCATTCTTCCTTCTTCTTCTTCTTCTCTTTTCATTCTTCTTTTCATTCTTCTTCTTTTCATTCTTCTTCTTCTTCTTTTCATTCTCTTTTCATTCTTCTTCTTCTTCTTTTCATTCTTCTTCTTCTTTTCATTCTTCTTCTTCTTTCATTCTTTCTTCTTCTTTCATCTCTTTCATTCTTCTTCTTCTTCTTTTCATTCTTCTTCTCTTCTTTTTCATCTCTTCATTCTTCTCTTCTTCTTTCATTCTTCTTTCTTCTTTTCTTCTTCTTCTTTTTTTCATTCTTCTTTTTCTTCTTCTTCTTCTTTTCATTCTTCTGGGGGGGATTTCTTCTTCTTTCTTCTTCTTCTATTTCCACTCTCTTCTTCTTTTTTTCATTCTTCTTTTCATTCTTCTTTTTCTTTTAGTTCATTTCTTCTTTTCATTCTTCTTCTTCTTCTTCATTCCTTCACCATTCTTCATTCTTTCTTTTGCTCATTCTTCGTTAACTTCTTCTTCTTCTTTTCATTCTTCTCTTCTTCTTCTTTTCATTCTTCCTTTTCATTATTCTTCTTCTTCTTTTCATTCTTCTCTTCTTTTCATTTCTTTTCATCTTCTACTTCTTTTCATTCTTCTTACTTCTTCTTTTCCGTCTTCTTTTCATTCTCTTTTTCATTCTAATTCTTTATCATTCTTCTTTTCATTCTCTCTTCTTCTTCTTCATTCTTCTTTTTCAGTTCTTCTCTTTCATTCTCTTCTTTTCCTTTCATTCTCATTTCTTCTTCTTTTCGATTCTTCTTCTTCTTTTCATTCTTCTTCTTCTTCTTTCATTCTTCTTTTCATTCTTCTTCATCTTCTTCAACTCTTCTTCATCTTCTTCTTCTTCTTCTTTCTTTTCATTCTTCTTCTTCTTCTTTTCATTCTTATTTTCATTCTTCTCTTCTTTTCATTTCTTCCTTCTTCTTCTTCTTTTCATTCTTCTCTATTCATTCTACTTTTCATTCTTCTTTTCATTTTCTTCTTCTTCTTCCATTTCTTCTTCTTCTTCTTCTTCTGGCAACTCCACCACTCAGCCTCATTTTTGTTCCAGTATTACTCTGTATTTTGCTACCGAAAACAAAATCCTGGAAACTTTCTATTGCATGTTACAGACTCAGGTGGGACTCAGTGCGCACGAATTGGTGGGAATCCCTCACAATGGACATTCAGCAGGGTGTACATAACCGACCCATGAATTCAGCACAAAGGGATGGTCGGGAACCCATCAAAATTGCACATGCAGGTGTGTGCATACCCTAACCTCACACAGGATGGATGGTGTGAACCCCTAGTAATTTGGCCGCAGCAGGTGTGCAACCTGGGACCTCAGCACAGTGATGGTAGAAACACCCTCATAATGGGAACAGCAGGTGTACAGACCCAGGAATTAGCACAGGATGTAGGAATATCCTCTAATATGGGCAGAGCAGTGTACAACCCAGGAACTCAGCACAGGGATGGTGGGAAACTTAGCTCATAAAAGGGCGCAGCAGTGTGCAGACCTGGAACTTCAAGCACAGGGATGTTGGGAACCCCTCATAATGGGCACAGCAGGTGTGCATACCCCAGAACCCGCAGCACAGGGATGGTGGGAACCCCTCATAATGGGCACAGCAAGTTTGGGCGGGGTTTAACTCTCCAGCATCCATTAGAGACTGATAGACGCAGTAATATAGTTCATTCTTCTTTTCATTCATACGTTTTCCATTCTCGTCTTCTTCGTTTTCATTCTTCTTTCTTCTTCTTTTCATTCTTCCTTTTCATTCACACTTCTTCTTCTTCGTTTTCATTCTTCTTCTTCTTTCATTCCCTTCGGGGGGGTTCATTCTTCTTCTTCGTCTTTTCAGACCCTATCTTGTTCATTCTTCTTCTTCTTCTTTTCATTCTCTATTTCATTCTTCTCATTGATTTTCATTCTTGCTCATTCTTCGTTTTCATTCTTCTACATTGGAGCTTCTTCTCAGGTCTTCTTTTCATTCTTCTTCTTTTTCATTCTTATTTTCATTTCGTCTCATTATTCTTTTCATTCTTCTTCTCTTCTTTTCATTCTTCTTCTGTCTTTGAGGCATTTCTTCTTTTCATCTTCTTCTTCAACTTTTCATTCTTCTCATTCCTTCTTTTCCCCAGAGTCCTTGGGGGCATCTTTTCATTCCTTACTTCTTCTTCTTTTCCATTCTTCGTCTCACTTCTTTTCATTCTTCTTCTTCTTCTTTCATTCTTCTTCTCTTCTTTTCATTCTTCTTCTTCTTACTTCTTCTTCCCCCCTGTGACTGGCCCTAACATGATGAAGTGTGCGGTGATTCCTAAGATCGACGGCACTCATCTGCATGTCATAACTGACTGGACAGTAATTATTCTCTGGGGCTTCCCCATGAACAAGTCCAAGGGGCATTTAAGTTAAAGGTACAGTGTCTGCACTAAATTAAAGGCGCTCTCTGAAGCTAGAAACCCTTTTAAATAAGTTAAATTCGCGCGAATAAATTCAAGCATCGAATCATAATTTTCTCCCCGCAAATTCGACGAATCAGCCGAATCGAATTTTTGAATAATTTGCTCATCTTCTAAATGTAATATATATTTTCAAATGCACCCTGCTGCGTTTCGCGAGTCAGAAAAAAGAAGGTAATGTTTATTATATGTCTTCTGACGTGGGAAGCTCTATGCTTGGGCTTCCCCTTATATAGAACCAGACAATGGCACTCTGAATGTTTTTGATACCTTTTTTAGACCGCGATTGAATACCTTGTTGGTTGATGATAGCCCAACCAGGGCGGGGTACTGACCCATTTGGAAACCCCGGAAGCACTGCCCCAAGGCCTGGGTCAGTAGGGGCGTCCCCATGAGATGCCCCTGGTGACCTTTTATCATAGCCGGTTTTTGAGTTTTGGCAAGGACACAGGTGGCCCCCCATGATCCCCCATATTGCCCGGGGGGCCCCATGAGTTGTCAGTCCGCCCCCTGATCCCAACCATGTGCTACCTACTGCCACAGGGTTTAAAGTTGCATAAGTCCCCGGAACTTACATGCCTCGGGTAGCATCGCTGAATACACAGCCGAATTCAGAGGTTGGATCGCAGAGAGGGCCTGTTAGGAATGGACTGGTCCAGCAATAATGGTGGGACGCTCACCTGAAACTTTTTGATCTGCAGTACCAGGCTGAGGCCAGCGGGTGCTCCCAGCAATCATGAGACTCAAACCTTTTCAGCCAGCTAACACCTTTGGAACAGATGATGCTGGGGTATTTAAGGTGATGGCCAGACCCACAACTCTGCCCTTGTGTTGTGTTATGTCCTGGCCCCTGTATTCTGTCCTGCATCCTGTTTGTCGTCCCTCTGCCGACCCTCTGTACTCACCTGCTTATTACTCTGTTTTTGAATCTCTGCTTGTGACCCTGACCATACCCTCTGCCTGACCCTCTGTACTGACGCTGCTTGCTACTGGGCATGAACCTGCCTGTGACCCCGACCATTCTCTGCCTCTGCTCCCCCTGTACCTACTACCGCCCAATTGATATTGACCTTCCACGGCCTGCCTGACGACGCCTTGCTTGTATGTACTGTTATCTGTGGAAAAAGTGGTTTGGTTTTTGGTTTTGTTTGCACTGTATTATGTTTAGGCTATTGCACTGCGTTTATGTTTGTATGGTTAGTGTTAATAAATTGTATTGTTTATCATATATCTGAAGTCTGCGTTTCCCTGCATCAGTCACACACCTCTGGTCATACCTGGGAGCCCTGACAGGGGCGAACTGACCTTTTGGAAACTCGGGCACTGCCGAGGGCCTGGGGACAGTAGGGGGCCCCATGAGCTGCCCCTAGTACCTTTTTCATAGGCTTTTTTGAGTTTGGGCAAGGACACAGGGGCCCGGGGCCCCATGAGTTGTCAGTCTGCCCCTGATCGCAGATACCACTTGGAACCCTGCAGCACAAAAGAGCCAAGGGCTTTCTGAACAGGTAATGGATGAGCTTGCCAGAGTAGATATTCCTAATGATCTTGAGGAATTCATCCAATTATGTATTCGAATCGATCAAAGACTTACAGGAAAGGAGAGGCTGGGAATGTTTGGAGGTAATAGGGGCATGCATCTCTCTGCTAGTCCATTTGTTCAGCAGGATTCAAGAGTTTCTTTGGGTTCTAACACTCCTGAGCCTATGCAGGTTGATGCTATCAAGAGGTCCATTTCCATTCAGGAGAGAGGACGTTCAGAGAACTTCTGTCTATATTGTGGGGACTCTGGTCATTATGCAATGAATTGTCCTAACAAAGTTAGAAGAACGATTGCTGTGACTGATGTGATTGTGACTGAACAAATAAACTCTAAATCCAGTCTGTCTCCCCACTGATTCCTGAAGAGAATAAAGTGAACTCACTACTCTCTCATTTTGTCATCCCCATTAAACTTGTCTCTGAGGGCCGTAAAATCTCGTGCTCAGCTATGCTGGACTCCGGGGCTGGGGGGAACTCTATGGATATAGAGTTTGCCAACAGCAATAATATTCAAGCCAGAAATACATTTACCCCTATTGATATGGAGACAGTTGATGGGTCACCCTTATCTTCAGGACCTGTTACCCATCAAACGGTTCCCCTGGTTCTGTTGTTTGAGGCTGACCATTGTGAGACCATCAGCTTTCAGCTGATTACGTCACCCAAGTTTCCACATCATTCTGGGCATTTTTCCTTGTACAGGCCACATTATTTCCTCAAGTCCTTGTCTGTGGTGGTTTGAGGAGGAAGAGATATTGTGGCTGCCCCAGGCCACACTCACTCTGTGTTTTGATGTGGGCTGTAAATGTTTGCATGTTCTTCCTTCTAAGGTGTGTCTGATGGTCAGGTGCGTCTTATGGAGCGAAAAAAAATGCTTTGCAAGGTGGTGATCTGGAATAAGGAACCATTGGATGCCTGGACAATGTTGGACCTACGGGTGAGTCTGAGAGGACCCCTAAAAAGGTGTGCACCACCATCCCTGAATGCCTGCTATGGTGACCAGATACTGCTCACGCTGTTGACCAGACCCTGATGTCCCTGATGTGACCAGATGCTGCTCATGCTGCTGACCAGACCCTGATGTCCTGATGTGACCAGATGCTGCTCATGCTGCTGACCAGACCATGATGTCCTGTTGCTGAGGATTTACATACAATGCCCATATTGTATGTATTTGTGGTAAGCGCATAACCGCACTATTTTTTCCATTCTATCGAGTTGGATTTGGAACGTCATAGGATCGTATCCATCTGCCCTCCAGATACACCATATGAACAATTTATGTCCGATATTATTGTTACTATATATGGTGACTCTCTCTTTGTTTGATATTTATTTTTTAGCGCTGCATACCCCATTTTATATATTTATGGATATAGAGTTTGCCCACAACAATAATATTTCAAGCCAGAGATACATTTACCCCTATTGATATGGAGACAGTTGATGGGTCACCCTTATCTTCAGGACCTGTCACCCATAAAACGGTTCCCTTGCTACTGCTGTTTGAGGCTGACCATTGTGAGACCATCAGCTTTCAGCTGATTACGTCACCCAAGTTTCCCATCATCTTGGCATTCCTTGGTTCTCCACTCACAATCCTTCCATCAACTGGGGAGCACAAACTATAGATTTTACGTCCCCCCACTGTGAAAAATATTGTAAGAAACTTTGCCGACCAAGTTCGTTCACCGTCACCGGCCAAGGAATTGCAAAGTGATATAGTGGCTATCCAGTGATATGACAACTTGCCCCCACAATACCATGAGTTCCGGGATGTCTTTGACAAGAAAAAATGCAGATCAATTACCCCCTCATGATTGTCCCATTGAGCTTCTCCCAGGGGCAGAAATACCTTTTGGCTGCCTTTTCAATCTGTCAGAAACTGAATTAAAAGTGCTCAGGGTGTGGATCGATGAGAATTTAGAGAAGAGCTTTATTAGACACTCAACTTCTCCTGCAGGAGCAGCCCTGTTCTTCATTGAAAAGAGAGACTCCACTTTGCGTCCATGCATTGACTACAGAGACATGAATAAAATCACTATAGACCTGGACAGGAAGGGGGTGAAAGAGTCCGGATTGGAAGGGGGAGGAAAGTGTCCGGACTGAAAGGGGGGGTGAAAGTGTCCGGACTGGAAGGGGGGTGAAAGTTGTCCGGACTGGAAGGGGGGAAAGTGTCCGGACTGGAAGGGGGTGGTGAAAGTGTCCGGACTGGAAGGGGGGGAAGTGTCCGGACTGGAAGGGGGTGAAAGTGTCCGGACTAGAAGGGGGGGAAAGTGTCCGGACTGGAAGGGGAGGAAAGTGTCCGACTGGAAGGGGGTGAAAGTGTCCGGACTGGAAGGGGGTGAAAGTGTCCGGACTGGAAGGGGTGGAAAGTGTCCGGACTGGAAGGGGAGGAAAGTGTCCGGACTGGAAGGGGGTTGAAAGTGTCCGGACTGGAAGGGGAGGAAAGTGTCCGGACTGGAAGGGGGGAAAGTGTCCGGACTGGAAGGGGGGAAAGTGTCCGGACTGGAAGGGGGGGAGAGAAGTGTCCGGACTGGAAGGGGGGGAGGGGGGGGGTGTCCGGACTGGAAGGGGGGGGGGAGGGAAAGGGGGGTAAAGTGGGGAGTGTCCGGACTGGAAGGGGGGGGAAGTGTCCGGACTGGAAGGGGGGAAAGTGTCCGGGGGAAAGTGTCCGGACTGGAAGGGGGGGGGAAAGTGTCCGGACTGGAAGGGGGGGGAAAGTGTCCGGACTGGAAAGGGGGGGGGGGAAGTGTCCGGACTGGAAGGGGGGGGAAAGTGTCCGGACTGGAAGGGGGGGAGGAAAGTGTCCGGACTGGAAGGGGGGAAAGTGTCCGGACTGGAAGGGGGGAAAGTGTCCGGACTGTGAAGGGGGGGGAAAGTGTCCGGACTGAAGGGGGGGGAAAGTGTCCGGACTGGAAGGGGGGGGAAAGTGTCCGGACTGGAAGGGGGGAAAGTGTCCGGACTGGAAGGGGAGGAAAGTGGGGAAAGTCCGGACTGGAAGGGGAGGAAAGTGTCCGGACTGGGAAAAGGGGGGAAAGTGTCCGGACTGGAAGGGGGGGAAAGTGTCCGGACTGAAAGGGGGTGGAAAGTGTCCGGACTGGGAAGGGGAGGAAAGTGTCCGGACTGGAAGGGGGGAAAGTGTCCGGACTGGAAGGGGGGGAAAGTGTCCGGACTGGAAGGGGGGAAAGTGTCCGGACTGGAAGGGGGAAAAAGTGTCCGGACTGAAAGGAGTCCGGACTGGAAGGGGGGAAAGTGTCCGGACTGGAAAAGTGGGGGGAAAGGGGGAAAGTGTCCGGACTGGAAGTGGGGAAAGTGTCCGGACTGGAAGTGGGGAAAGTGTCCGACTGGAAGAGGGGGAAAGTGTCCGGACTGGAAGGGGAGGAAAGTGTCCGGACTGGAAGAGGGGAAAGTGTCCGGACTGGAAGGGGGGGAAAGTGTCCGGACTGGAAGGGGGGAAATGTCCGAACTGGAAGGGGGGGAAAGTGTCCGGACTGGAAGGGGGGGGAAAGTGTCCGGACTGGAAGGGGGGGAAAGTGTCCGGACTGGAAGGGGAGGGGAAAGTGTCCGGACTGGAAGGGGAGGAAAGTGTCCGGACTGGAAGGGGGTGAAAGTGTCCGGACTGGAAGGGGTGAAAGCGTCGGAGTGGAAGGGGGGAAAGTGTCCGGACTGGAAGGGGGTGAAAGCGTGTCCGGACTGGAAGGGGGGTGAAAGTGTCCCGGCACTGGAAGGGGGTGAAAGCGTCGGACTGGAAGGGGGGGTGAAAGCGTCCGGACTGGAAGGGGGGAAAGTGTCGGACTGGAAGGGGGGGAAAGTGTCCGGACTGGAAGTGGGGAAAGTGGTCCGGACTGGAAGGGGGAAAGTGTCCCGGACTGGAAGGGGGGAAAGTGTCCGGACTGGAAGGGGGGGAAAGTGTCCGGACTGGAAGGGGGGAAAGTGTCCGGACTGGAAGGGGGGGGAAAGTGTCCGGACTGGAAGGGGGGAAAGCGTCCGGATCTGGAAGGGGGGGAAAGCGTCCGGACTGGAAGGGGGGAAGAAAAGCGTCCGGACTGGAAGGGGGGGAAAGCGTCCAGACTGGAAGGGGGGGAAAGCGTCCAGACTGGAAGGGGGGGAAAGCGTCCAGACTGGAATGGGGGAAAGCGTCCAGACTGGAATGGGGGAAAGCGTCCGGACTGGAAGGGGGGAAAGTGTCCGGACTTGAAGTGGTTAATTAGTAAATTGGTACAAATCCTTGTGAGGCTGACTTGGTAACATTCCATACAAACACGTCTCTTCTTATGTTCTTCAGTTATTCTGATCAGCAAATTAATACATAAATAAATGTCTGTAAGAAATCAGAAGCAACATTCCCATCCCCCGCTCAGCGCCGAGGTCGGTCCCCACGGACTACAGAGGTCTTTTCAGAAGTTGTACATTTGCTGGGATTTTCTTGCCCATTTTCTGCATGAATTGCGCCGGTCTCCCGGCTGTCACCGTCAGACTCTTTTCATCGCTGTCCTTGGATCCTCTTTGGGCTCCTGTCACTTCTAATCTTACACACTCCAAGACTTCCACTTCCTTTTATTTACTTATTGTTATGGCTGAATCTGAATACATTAATAGACGCGCAAATCAGATCCGAAGACGGCAAGAATTGTGCCAGCAGCGGAATAGAGAAGGCGTGCGGAGGGGGGGGGGGGGGGGAGCTGAACCATCTCATTCTGGGGCATGAATACATTATAAAAAAAAAATAATAATAATAAAAAAAAATATATATATATATATATATATATATGGTACACAATCTGAAAGCCAGCACAAGATATGTTTATTTTCAAAAAGTGATGATTTTATTTTATTATTATTATTATTATTATTGTCCAGGATTTATATACTATTATTATACAG